CAGTATGGTGTTCTTATTGTCCTTTTAGATTGAAAGAAATATTTAGGAATTTTGAAACTGATCATTCAGTGTTTGGATCAGGTGTTATTTTTTTCCTCTTTTCTTCTGGAAATATTTTGTGTTGGTTTGATTCTAAGTCTTCTAAAATTTGACTTTAAATGGTGGTGTACACTAGTTTTGGTTCGTAAAAGTTCATCAGCAAATGGATTCTTGATATAATTTCCTATTATCCTTATGCTGGCAGTTGAGGAGATCTGATTATGGGTAGGATGGGAAAATCTTATGATGTTTTTGACTTTTTTTATATTTGTGAGCTGCTGCGAGAGAAAGCTTATGGATATTTCCAACCTGAAATATGCACCTCTCAATAATTAAAAAAAATAAAAAAAAAATATATATGAGAGGAAATTAAAGAGAAGTGAACTAGGAAAAACAACGCAAAAAGATATATTTACATATTAAATAGGGGTTTAGAGATATTAAAGGGCACATGCCAATATTTAATAGAAATATTTCAATATAAAAACTCAGTGAAGGCATAATGAAAAAAATGCCAAAAGCATATCAATTAGAGGATTTAGAAGGATTGTTGATAAATGGCCCAACTATTTGGGCAAACAGGAGAAGTTTTTAAAAGTTAAAATAAAATGAAAAATGCAGAGTTCGAAAACTTTAAAATGTTCCAATTATTTAAAAAGTGAAAATATTTTTATTTTTATAAAAAGTCCAATTTGAAAAGACAAGTTTCAATATTTTCTTTCAAAGACTCAAAGAGAGATTAATATTGAAAATTAGCATATTATTCATATGACCTCTTCACAAATAAATACTGGTAAGTTGCATTTTCTTAATTAGTTAATATTTTTATTCTTTTTCTTTTTAATTAGTCGGTGGTAATAATTTTTTTTCCCTTCAACTTTGCATTATTGTTTGTCTATTTCTCATTTCTTGTACTTTTCCCTTAACCTATAATAGCAGTCAAGTTTTAAGAATTAAAGTCATTTGGAGATGAGTGTTTATAGACAATTTAATATAGGGTATAATGCGATATAGTACTTAGACGGATAATTCCACATCCACACTATCTCAATTTCATTACCTTGACTATGAAACAATTAGCCAATTTCATACTAGATACTTGGCTGTTATTTTATATTTTAATCAAAATATATTAAAAAATAATGAGAAAAAGAAAGATATCCGACAAAGCCACCTCCACGGGCTCCTCGGCTATAAACCTCAACACTGTGTGGTCCATCTGCTATATGCATGTGTTATGTTCACAATGAATGGAAGTTACCTTCGACAAACACACACCAGTCATCAATCGGGCTTAACACTTAAACATTACTACAAAACCAATGTCACATGTTATATTATACTACAAATGGAGATGATAGCTTAATAATAGTCCCTTAAAACTCATTAAATGGAGAGATGACAACATTATACATGAACTAAACTATGAGTTGTGTGAAAGATATGAGTGATCTCATTTTAATCATTTCTTTGTCTCTTTTGAACTCAAAAAACAGCTTTTCTTATCCATTATTAATAACATATATCCGACTCACTTTGTCCAACATATTTAATTTTATTTTTAAATTATGTATTCCTACACTCATATCAATTTATATATTATACTATTTTAAAATAAAAAAATTATCATCAAATTTACCATCCATGATGTGTATAAATTTATTTTAAAGTAGTATGATAAAGTAACACTTTTATAATTTTCAAGTTTTAAGAAAAAGTTTGATTCACAGTATTGCCTTCATTAGAATTTTTTGTTTGGCTTAATGAGTTGTTTTGACTTGTTATCCAATGTTCTCCTGTGGCTCTTTCCAGTCTAGAAACATGCTTTATATATTTAGATAAAAATAACTTATCCCTCACACATAAAAATTGATTGGATTGAACTGTACAACTAAACTATAAACCATTAACTTCAACTAAACTTTAAACCATTAATAATATTTAATGCACTTATTATATATTTGAGGTATATTTATAGTTTGTTTATATATCCATATATTTATATTTTTTTGTTTATTTGGAGCATGGACGTTAACTAAGATCAATATAACAAAGTTAATACATACCATTCAATAGCATATAATACTTTAGATACTCTTAAACTTATTAACTAAGTTGTTTTAAAATACTTTACAATAGATATAAGATTTTAGATACTTTTAAACTTATTAACTAAGTTGTTTTAAAATACTTTACACTAGACAAATTTCATGTGACTTTACACAATTTATACAATATAAAGATTAATTTACTTTCATGTGACTTTATACAATCCATATATGTTAAAGGTTATTAACTTATTTAAAGAGTACGTGAGAAAAAATATTTAAATTATTTTTATTAGGAATACTTTCTAAAAAATTTTAGTAAATGTAAAAAAAAATATATTATCATTCTTTCTTAATAATACGCTAGTTTGTTTTTTAATAAACTATAAAAGATAAATATAACTAATATATAATTCTTTCACAAGTTTTGATTTTTTCTTTGTAAATTACATTTTTTATTTTCTTTTACATATAATCATTATTTAATCGGGTAATTTGACAAAAAAAAAGGTATAAATTTTTTTTACTAATTAATACATAATAGATGCAAAAATATTGTACAATATATTTTAAAACTTTATTAAACAATAAATAAGTAGGAGCAAATGTCAATTTTTACTTAATTTATTGCCAGTTTTATTTTATTATTCTTAAAATCGACATATTTTTTATGAAGATGTTTTGTATAAATACATGGATTTTTTAATTTATAGATTGTAAAAATCATTAATAAATACAAAAATATTTAAATATTATTTCTAAAAAAATAGACAATGCTAAAAAATTTAGATTAAATTGAGTTTTTATAATTCATATTATTTCGTAGAGTTTGAAATGATATATAAAACTTATCACATTAGACTAGTTTTTTAAAGTGTAGACGGAGTTGTAAACATAATCTTTTGTTTGTTCCATAAATTGGATCATGTCTATTGATTTGCTTTATTTGATTAACTTAATATAATTTTTATTTATCCTTTAATTTAAATGTGAGGTATTTAACTTAAACAATATAATTTTTAATTATTATTTAATGCAAATAATATTTAAAAGCACCACCAATATTTTTTAAATAAGGATGGTAAAAGTTTTAGGAAATATAGGTACTAGTCATTTAGAAATTCTATCAGATGACTTTTCCACATAACTTGAAATTTTATAAAGCCCCAAAGAAAGATTTCCTAACATAATTTTGGTTGTTTTTTTATATAATACTGTCACTTATTTATCACAATTTTTTTTTAATAAAAAGTTATTAAATCCATAGTTTTTCAATTCAAATCGTCCTGACACGCACGGCCCGGGACCGCAATCGGTCCGGGTGGATTATTTGGAACCCAGTCAAATCCGGTCAACCCGGTCGACACGTGGCATTGACCCAGCCCCTATTATTTATTCTATTATTTTTTTGTTCTCAAAATATTTTCTATTTTAACAAAATAAAAACTATGTATATATATTATATGGTAAATATTTATAATGAGATACAATATTATTAACACTTTGATGTACAAATTCTATGTACAAAAACACTTAATTTTGTTACTTTTATGTATATTTATATGACAAATATACTATATATATAATTTTAAAAATTTTAAAATTAATTATTCGGTTTAACATTTACCCGATGACCCGACAGTCGAACCGGTGACCCGTGGACCTGCCCGGATCGATTTCTGAGCTGAGTTTAAAAACTTTGAGTAATCATGTTAATTTATAAAATTAATTTTAACATAAACACGATATTTATTTTATAAAATTGTTTATAATACTTTTTTTGTTTTATGCACCATTATGTTAATAAAATAATACATAACACGT